GACGCCTCGCCTTGAACGCCGCCCTCGGTTGCGCCTGCAACCGGCTCTGCCTGCGGAAGCGGGACCTCGGAGAGCGGGCAGCGACAGCCCTGCTCCCCCGGCAGCACCACCAAACTTCCCTTCGCTGCTGCACTGTGGAATTCACTTGCACCGAACGGCGAGGCAATAGGGCCATAGAGGAGTGTCGTCAGGACGAGTCTCACTAGGGACTACATCACCAAACTAACGTAATTCGGGAGTAAAAACCGTCTATGTAATCCGAAGTGCACCTGTAGACATTTCTTTTCCTAGCCGCGTGCAGGCAATCATAAAACTAAAGGGTTTTAAACAGCAAAGCACACTGCCTTTAAGTCATTTGACAAGAATTTAAGGAAGGGAAGTATCCATTTCTTACCAATGCTACAGGAATGCTAAGCATTTGACTGCTTTAAATTACTTTAAAAAGGCCAGTAGGTTACTTTGAGAGCTCCAATCTACTTCACTCAGTTTCATGCTATTGTATTGATAAAGCTTATGCACTTAGAATAAAATTAACATCACCAAAACTTGAAAAAATTGGTTTTTTCAAGTTTAGAATAAATTGGTTTAGAATATTGTCCCTCTTGACCACTAACACCACTGCAGAGATGTGAGAGCAAGTAGCACTAGTCACAGCCAGGATGTCAGGCTCAAGAGACAATTCTTGTTCGTTTTCTGCCAACGTTGTCACTCAATTTTATTGGATGTTTTTTCAGGATTTGCATTTCAAAATAGTAGAAGTTCTGTGCTGAGATTCCTAATTAATGCTGTGTTTGCATTCTCAATTACAGTAATCTTTTTTTACATGGTATAAGAATGCCTTTTAGTCCATTTTAATTAAATGGCAATGTATGTTTAACTTGGTTATCCTGTTTATTTGTACTTTAAGGATGAAGTTCTCAAACTCTTTGCCTTAAGCTCCAGAAACAAAATCTAAATGAGAGAGATCTCACAATACACAAAACTTCCAGTGTGACTATGGTATAGATCCTGCAGATTCAACATTTTTTCCCCCCAATTCATGACCTACAACAGCAATGTTAACTAAATACCTGCAAGCTTTGATTCATTGCTTCCATCAATATTTTGACTCCTTTAACCGTATTATAAAAATAAATTAGCATGTCAATGGCAAATAATATTAGCCAAACTTTACTATCTCCCAAGTCAACTCTCCAATAATGGATAGGGTAAAACAAAAAATACACTTAACTCTTTCAACAGAAACAAATATATATTTTTGCCATGTTTCAAGGAATTAAAATGAACAAACTTACTAGAAATTTGTTCATCCTACTTCTGGAAGCATTAAATTATGACAGCTTTAATACACCCACCTAAAGCACCACCATAAAATAAGCCGGGAGAAGTTAACCTTGTGATTGAGGTATAGGACCATGATTCCAGAAGTCTGGATTCTGTTCCTTTCTGTATCACAGAACATACAAAAAATTTTTAGTAAAAATCCCAGCTCCTCTGCAATTGCGTGGAAGATTTTCCTTCCACATCTGCAACGACAGTCATACAGAATTTCAGGCTCAAATCCTGCAATGACATATAACAGGTGTTCACAAGCAGATCCCATTAAAATTTAGAGGACTAAAACTCCAGTTTATACTCTTAAATCCTACGTACTGACATTCTACTTGACTTAATCCAAGTCATTTCTATCTTCTTAACCTTTCTCAAGAGAAGCTGAGAGGAAAATCAGCTACACTTACACATGATAGTAGAGAACAGTTAGGCAGCTAGACTCCTTGACATCACAGCCAAAAGAATGATGCATTTTACAAAGATTAGCAACAGGATTCTCAGTAAATGTCAAATATTTAATGTAAGGCAGATCAACTACAAGGAACTCAGATCAGAATGTGCTCAACAAAGGATTAAGTATTTCTTTTTCAATTTTACTTTAAATTTCTCATATGTAAAATGCTGTGCACAGAATGATGTACAGAGGTGAACATACAGTTAATCAGATCAACTACAGTGAAATCTGTGGGCTACTCAGCCACCTAGTGGTTACCTTCAAAAAATAATGGGCTGTTTTTTAAAACTAGAAATCAATAAATTGAATACAAGAATTCAGATGACAAAGGATCTGATCCATGCAGTAACAGAAAGGAATAAATCTACACCAGGTTCAATTTGCCCATGTCTTGAATATAAAACCTGACAGCCTCCAAAGTCAACCAACTATCCTGGTTTATAGATATCCTGCCAGTGATGTTTTACTAAGAAATCTTTTTAATGACGTACAAGTTACTAGGGCTTCAAACTGGAGCAATCAACGTTTTTGCTACACTGTCAGTCATACCTAGGGAACATGAGTTTTATTCTAAGGGAGGCACTGAAGATAGAACAAGTAATAGAAAAGGAGAGACTGAAGAATAAATTTATCACTATCATAGAAACGCAGACTACAAGTTAGTAGAAATTTTATATGTATATACACACACACATATATATAAATAAAAAACTTAGTCCATTCCCTGCTTTTCCAAACAACCACACCATTGTCATAACAAAGGCTAACTTAAAACTACTTAGATTCCTTCTTTCTACTGCTTCCAGTGAAGAGTGTTCCAGTTTCACCTATCTGGTGGTGGCTGGAACTCTTAGATTGCAGCTTATGTTTCTATACCAACTCTGTATTGTTCTTTTGTTTTAATTATAGGATTTTGTAACAAAATATAGAGAGACTTAGCTCTTAATAATCTGGTGCATTTATTGAAGTTTTACCATGACATACAAAATATAACATATTATCATGATACTTACAAAAACAAATGCAGACATTGTAGCAAATGCATGACCAATATAGAAAACCTGTGTTGAAGACACAGGCTTTAAGACAACTCTACTTGACTATTTCAAAAAGGAACTCCCTAACAGCCTTCTCAGTTTGTTTTTGTATGACCTATTGCTCATTGTCCAATTTCTTCCTTTTTTATTTTAATAGCGGAGAACTGTTAACCATTCAAATATCATTTAAGAACAAGAAAATAACTAGCTATAAAATCCCTGTTGGATTAAGGCACAATTACATTGTAGTTTTCACAGAAGACTGTTAAAGGGTAGTTCTTTGAATGGCCATCCTATCTGCGGAGAAAAGTGATTTGTCAGGTTAAAGAAAAGCTAAAGTCCAGCTCAACAGTACTGCAGATGCTGTCAGAATGCGCTCCTTTTTGCAGTTCCCTCCATTTCAGTATTTGCTCTGTCAGTTCCTCCAACTCTGTCACTAGCACCTCTGTTTTGGTCAAAGCAGTGTCCTGAAACAGAACAGAGTTGCATTTCATCCCTATTTATCCTGTCATACCAGCAAGACACAAAACTAATCTACACAATTAAACAGCAGTGAGTTCTTTAGGCTGGAAGACACAGAAAGCTCCGTTCTTTTGCTACTCACCATATTCTCCATGACGCTGGGTATCTGAGGGCTGCTTCTTATGGTCTGCAAATGGCTTTCAAGCTTCTCAATGAACGTCACAGCCTCAGTCAACAACTCTACTACATACCTGTAGTCAAGAATGAACCCTCCTACTCAAAAGCTGTGCAAAACAATGAAGGATTTAATACTTTCCAGCTCTAACTACTTTCCATGTGGGTTTTCTTAATCCTCTCCTCTAGTCCTCCTAGTTTTATGAGAGTCCCTGACGATCTAATTGATTTCTCAACAATTAAAATTCTTTGAAGACTCTCAGCAACAAGTAGAGTAGGAATTACAGGAGTAAATATGCACTTGTTCGGTAACCTCAGCAAGAAACACTAGATTTTTAAAACATACTAGGCATCTATGAGAATCAACCACACGTATTCTGAGCAAGTCACAGTGAAAGCAAGATGGCAAATATGACACTTCCTGCTTATGCAGGAGCATAAGGAATCAAGCATTTAATACATCTCTACAAAGTTAGAGCATGCATCTTTGTGAAATCTTCAGAAGAGAAGACCAAATCACCCTAAGCAAATATTAATGAAAAGACTTATCAATATCTTTCTATAAATTTAGCCAAGGAGTGAACTGTTAGTTTTTAGCTGAGGTTCCACTAGCTATTTTTATTTCTCTTCTTCTCAATGCAAAAGTGAATGAGAGGATGCAACTTTTATTGCCCCTTAGCTCAAATTGATTTGGATTCATGCACACGCAAAACAATTATTTTCTATATGCCTACTTGTGGAAAGGAGCCTCAATAGGCAGGTTCTCTTGACATCTGGGCTTCATTAACCTTTGTCTGAGAGTCCTTTTCTCTTTCAGCACTGCTTCCAAGTGTCTGTTCATATCTTGAAAGATCTGGCACTTTTTGCCTATAAAATAAAATTGCAAAGCTGAAACTATTGGCCTACTAAAACGACAGCAAAATTTCCGCTGGAGAAAAGTATAAAGAAAAAGTCTGATACACTGCACAAGACAGTTTATACTCAAGAAAGTTCATGAGTGACTTGTGTTAGACTGCACAGGACTTAACATTAGAATATATTTGGAAGAAAGTCATAAATATTTACTTTTTAGATATACAGCTTTGTTGTTTTAAATTATCTGTAGTTCTAAGTAAAACATCTTTAAGCGATGAAATCCACTTCTTAATCTGTATCACAGAATTGAAGTATTACAATATGTGTCACTAACATAACACAGCATTAACAAGCTAAAGTTTTTAAGCATCCATCAAGTGGTAAAAGCAAATACTAAAGAAATAAACCCATATGCTCCCAATCCACTAAAATAAAAATTCAAGCAATTCTAGGGACATTACACATGAAGCAAAAATACACGTCAGGTTGCTGGAAAAGCAGAGAAGCAGCACACAGGCCAGGGGAAGGAAAATAGATTAGTGACGATCTCAGAACCCCTGATGTTCCACTGACCTTGGGGACAAGAAGAGGCACACAATTACATACACACAGCTTCTACTACCACAGCAGCAGGTGCACGTTCTTTAGGGGCCAATTAAGCACCTGCCACCTCTAACAAGCTATCCAGTGATGACAGATGTAATAATTTCTAGAAGTGTTACATACTCAGATGAAACATTAATCTGCTGATGAAGTCATTGAACACTCATTTTTTTCTAGCATATAACTGCACTTACTCAAATAAAAAGGGTGAGCAATGTCTGCTGTCTCCTTCTCCAACTGCAGGATTTCAGTTTCCAATTTTTTCTACAACAATAATAAAGATCAAATCAAAATGAAAGTGTATTTTTAATTAAGAGACTGAAAGAGACATTGAGAAAGAGAACAAGGTGCTCTTGTGCCGTTTTCGCTGTTGAGGTTTTTTTGGTCAGTAGGAAAAGGCTCATAAAAATCAGTTTGGTGATTTAATAGGAATTTGTGGTGGAAAAGGCAGATCATGCAATTTATTCTTAAAACACAGAAGCTTTTATCACCCACAAAGCAGTTTCATAGTCTATATCTTGCTTTAAAAAAAAAAAAAAACACACACAGCAAGTCTCCTCCTTCTGCTAAGGGTTAGGTTTTGTTTGTTTGTTTTTTTTTAAGTTGAGGGATAAGCTATCTCACATGAACATGAACCTCTTAGCTTTAATTATTTTCAATGACAAACCAGTGCAAAAGCAGCAGACACCTTTTTATGATTTGTACTATTAAACAAAAAAGATGCTTTGAGAGGAGACCAAAAAAAAAGCGTTTGTGCATTCCTGACCAAAAGCAATAAGCGACAGAAGTACAAAGGAAAAAGGACAGATTAAAAACAGACTTAAAGTGAATGTTATTGGACGGTAAAGACAGATGAACAGAGCTGTGACTTGACAGCAAAACCTGTTTAGAACTGCTGAGTAGGTGTTTCCCCTTCCTGTGTGCTTTTAGAAAACAATAAGAATCATAATCTGTTCAGAAAAAAACAACTATTGGGAATGGCTGAAAGAGTTGTGATTCTTTTGGCTAAACAGGAGAAGACTGAGGAAAAGACAGCAGACATCAGTCTTTCAAGACACGCAGGGAACAATTGTTTTCCTTGATCACTGTCAGAGTCTATTCTGTGCATGAAAACTTCCAGCAAAGGAGGTTAAGTGGTCATGTTACCCACAATCGAAAACTGTTCCTTCTGTCAGTAGGGCAGGATGATGCCAGCTGTCTAACCTGTTCTCCCAAAAAACTACATGGGCAATTTGTCACACTGCTTTGCAGTACAGCTTTGTAGCTGCTGGAGCCCAAATTGTATAATTTAACAGGCACAGTTTTCCCACTAGCCAGCAAATGCTCAGAATACATCATCATAAAATATAACCCAACAGCTAATGGAGGCAGTAGGAAATGACTGAGGCTAGCTCTTGCTAACCAACAAAATGGTTCAGCTGTCTTATAAAGAAACACGTTTTTTGCAAATGAAGTCAACCACACATTCTTACTTGTTTCTCAGTTTCTTCAGAAAGCTTCAGACCACATCGCAGTCAAAGATGCAAACTGCTATGTCTTTCCAGTTATGCTGAAAACTTATTTTATCATTTTGTTCTTTTCTCTGTGACAATTCAGTCCATGGGGAAAAACTGCCACATGTTAAATAATTAAACTGTTAGAAGTGTGAAGCAATTGCACGTTTCAATTTAATGCCTCATCTGGCAACATGTATTACCTCAGCGTATGACCTGTTGAAAGTTTAATGACAACAGTAAAGGCTGTACCTGATTGATTTCAGCACGAATGTTTGCTATTTGCTCCATCTCCGAGAACTTCATAAAGCATGGGGCTTTTTTACAGGTTAAATCCAACGTCTCCTGTGAAAGGAAAACAGCAGGGAAAAGTGCAGACAGCAGCAAGAAGGTATTGGGCAAATTCTCAAGATTAACAGTAACTCTGACCACTAAAAGCTAATCAATTTCACTGGGCAATATATTGAATTTCTTCTGAGCATCTCATAAGATATATGCATTATTTTGGGGAAATAAGTGTGAGCAAAAACAAAACTTCATGAAAGACCGAGAGAGCTCTCTGAAAGGCCTTTGCACATCACTGCAACGCGCTACAGAGCACCGAAAGGCTCATGTAACCCAGAAAAAAACCACAGCCTAGAAGGTGCGGTTACTCCTGATCAGAAAAACTACCGTTACGCGACATACAGCGAGGTCCAGCACTAAAACGAAAACCTCCGTCTTTTCGGGAGGAGCCGCCCGAGCTCCCCGCGGCCGCGCTCCCTCCCC